GACTCTCCTGTGCAGTCCAGAGATAAGCCTGAGGCCATCCACCCCAGTGAAGGTGGGTATATCCTGACTCCACACTAGCATCCCTGAGGGAAATACTCTGAGCACACCTATGGCTCATTAGTCTAAACTTTCTTTGGAAAAAGCATAAAGTCTCTCTTATTACTGAAAAGTTGGTACATTATATGTTACCTCCTGACGTGTTTTTGTTGGTGATGCTTTCCAGCATTTGCACAGAACCTTGCACTGGTTGTATGAGTTACTTTTTTTTTTTTTACTAGCTTGGTTCTGCATTTTGTCAACGTTGATGATTTTCCTGTGGATTGAATACATAAAGTTTTAGTTGAAAATTCCATAATTTGTGGTTTGAATCTTCTAAACCATTGTGGGATGGTTAAAGCTAGTTAGTTCCTGATATACAATATGCTTATGGAATTGGAATGTTGATTTTGGGTATTGAGTCAGGCTGAGGAACAATATGAGGAACTCTGATCTGAGGATGAATTGCTAGGGCTGGTTACATGAGATTGCAGAGGCATGGGCATAATGTGACCCTGGAGAGAACTGAGGTTGCCTGAGTTCTTCCACTCATGCAGTTTCTCTTGCTGAGAACCCATTCTCTTTTCCCTAAGAGTCATTGACAAAATTATTTTCTCCAATAGTAATTTAAGAATTTCCTTCACAACTCTTTTTTTTGAGGGAGCGGGCAGAAGGAGAGGGAGAGACAGAATCCTAAGCAGGCTTCACACATAGCGCGGAGTCCAAGGTGGGGCTGGATATCACGACCCTGAGATCATGACCTGAGATGAAATCAAGAGTGGGACCCTCAACTGACTGAGCCACCCTCCTTCATAATTATTTTTAAATCAGGGGTGCCTGGGTGGTTCAGTTGTTAACCGTCTGCCTTCGGCTTAGGTCATGATCCCAGGGTCCTGGGATCGAGCCCCGCATCGGGCTCCCTGCTCTGCGGGAAGCCTGCTTCTCCCTCTCCCACTCCCCCTGCTTGGGTTCCCTCTCTCTGTCAAATAAATAAATAAAATCTTTAAAAAATCCATAATTATTATAAATAAATAAATAAATAAACCTATTCGTTCATGCATTCATTCATATATTTATTAAATATATTTTTCCAGTGAGCAAATACTTATTTACCACCAAGTACCAAGCACTGGGCTAGGTTTTTAGGTTCAAAACCTACAAGGCTTTCGTCTCCATCCTTAAGCTCACCACCTGGCAAGATTTTCCCTATCACCACTTGGATTCGGTCACCATAGTCTTATCTAGTCATTCCTCAGTATTGATGTAATTGGTTTTGTGTTCAATTTGTTGTAATTATTTCTAGAATAGTCTTTGATGTGGCCTGCCTCCACAGAGGCTTAGACATTGTCATTTGCAAAAAATTATGCTTTTCTCTTACTTGATAACTCTTCACAGGGCCTGATACTTGGCCCAGAGTGGGCCTACTACACATTGTGCATGAGGGCCTAATACACATTGCTAACCTTCTTTCTGGGGTGCATGGGTGGTGTCCTTTGATTATTGTTTTTACACATGATTACTGACATTGCTAATAGAGTTTTGAGGGTTTTGGGAGACAGAGTCAACAGACATGAAAATGGTCACCCCAACACAATCTCTGTAATCAGTCTGTGGACTAAACATGACTTCTATTGTCTTTTTATAGACAGAGACTCTAAAGACACTCTCTTCTGAAAGTACCACGGTTATGCTTGGCATTGGTTTTTAATGACAAGGGAAGTAAATTAAGGCTATATTTATATGGACATCTTTCCTGTGTGTTGCAACTGTTCAAGAAGGACATCTTTAGGGATTTCCCCTAATGAAGTGCATAAACAGTAACTTTCCTTCAAGCTGTCAGTGCGGAATGCGGTGTTACTCAAGTGAATTTCAGTGACCTCTTACTCTAGAGAGAGCCCAGTGTCAGAACACATTTTTATAAATAATACACTGTTTGCTCTGCAGTGCTGATAATTTTCTCCTGTCTTTCAGGCTGTCAAATAACCAGGAGGCTTGTTTTTTTCTTAGGACAAAGATACTTGCAGAGGAACTGATCAGACTGTTATTATTAATAATCTCATTATTGAGCCATCACCAAGTCTTTTGTGCATTTGAGGCTACCAAATAGATTAAAGTTTTATTCTGAGAACCGGAGGCACACGGGAACAAAGCAGCTTAAGAGCACTGTGTGGGGGATGGGGGGGTTCTTTTCTGGCTGGGGCACATTTGTGTTTGGGAGAATTGCTGCCTCATTCCTGTACGAATGTAACCCCTCTGGAAAGGGTTCTCCTAAAGGATTGGTCATAGAAGCCCCTAAAGGTAGTCATGACTACAGACTGTTATTGTTAATGAAGGTTTGTTTTTTTTTTTCTTTTTTTTCCTGGCAAGGGCACCGACATGCTCGTTGATAAAAGGAAAAAGGAGAGCTCATTATAGCCACAGACAGAGGCTATCCGCAAATGAGAAGAGATTTTGCCCTTTGCTGTGGTGGGGATCTGGAGGAAGAGGGGAAATGTGACGGCAGGGAGAGGAAAACTCTCCTCCTTATAACCATAGTCATAGCCTTCAGTCTCAAGATAATGCATTTGGCATGCCGGTGTTCATTCTCACACATGCCCTATGCTTCTCCTGTTTTGGACTGGGCAGCTAATGGCTAGAACATTCATGCAAAGAGGCTGAGGCTGAATTGCTTCCCACAGGGACCAGTGACTTGGCAGCTCATATCCTGCCCCAGGAGGCTCTGTCCAGGTGGAGTGAGCAGCCTTCAATAGTAGGGTTCCAGATAAAATATAGGGCATCCGATTCAATTTGAAAGTTAAGTAAACAACATCTAGTTATTTTAGTATAAGTATGTCCCAAATATGGCATGGGATATACTTGTATTAAAAATTATTCATTATTTATCTGAAATTCAAATTGGACTGGGTATCCTGTATCTTTATTTGTTAAATCTGATAACTCTATATAGGGCAGAATATGAGAAGCCAGGGTTACGAAATACTCCTCCTACCCGCTAACAGCTGGCCATGGATTCCCTGCCCAGGACCTCAGTCTCCACCGCAGATTGCCTTTGGAGCAGATAATGTCAGGGAAGCGTTGTTCCCAGAAAGCTTTGGAAGATGTTCCTATGCTTCCTGGTTCTACTCGAACTGCCTCTGATCACCACATCCACATGAATATGGGTGTAAGAGTGGCTTGTGAAGTCATCCTGTGTGGCTCAAGTGACGGGTTTCGATGGGGAGGCAGCAATGGCAGCCTGGATGGCTGGATCCTAAAGCTGGGGAGACTGACTTAGGTGGGACATCTGCTTAGCCCCCTGAGGCAAGGGGCAATGTGGGGCCCTGGACGAGGGATGCGGCCCCAGTAGCCTTGGGTGCACCACAAAGAGAGAGACTTCATTTCCCCTTTTCTCCTATCCTCCCTCCCTCACCATTCATTCATTCATTCATTCGTTCATTCGTTTGTTTGTTCATTATTCATTCATATTTTTCTTGCCTGTCCCCTCCCCTGAGTATCTGAATCGTGTACCAAGGGTTTAAGGCTCTGTTTTTCACATTAGCATCTGAGACTTTATGCGGTGAAAGAACCCTTCAGGGCAGGTTTTCCAAAGCATTCCTGTGGCAGGGTGGGGAAGGAAGTGGGCCAGGGGCCTTCTTTCCCCGCTGTGAACCCAATAATCTTATATACCGAGCCAGGTTTTAGGAAATTAAAGATAAAACCAAAAAACATAAAATCTGACATTTGTATAGTGTTTCAAAACTTATAAGCAACTTCTCATATAATATTTCATTTAATTCTAACAATTTAGGGATTGTTACAACACTAGAGGGGCTAAGTGATTTGCCTAAGGCCACAAACTAATGAGTGAGAAAGCTGGTTTTTTATTTTATTTTATTTTATTTTATTTTATTTTTTAAAGATTTCATTTATTTGACAGAGAGAGACACAGTGAGAGAGGGAACACAAGCAGGGGGAGTCGGAGAGGGAGAAGCAGGCTTCCCGCAGATCAGGGAGCCCGATGCGGGGCTTGATCCCAGGACCCTGGGATCATGACCGGAGCCGAAGGCAGACACTTAACGAACTGAGCCTCCCAGGTGCCCCAGAAAGCTGGTTTTTAATATTCAGACCCACATTTTTTTACTCTACAAGGTGGAAGGCAGATTTTCCAGATGGGGCCTGAAGATGCATCCCTCTTTCTCAGTTTCATGATGAACATGCCTTGACCAGCTCACTAGAGGGTCTGGACCAATGGAGGTCAGTCATATAGAGCTTTCTGGAGAAACTGCTCACCATGGACCCCCTTGACTGGTCTGGGCAGCCTCCTGTTTGGATTCTTTCTCCTTCATCGAGCTCACCATGGTAAGTGCTCGGTAGTGTGGAGCCCTCACTGAGCACCCAAGGTGAAAACACTGCTGGTCTCTCTCTCAGTGGGAGGTTGTTGGGAAAAAATTGTCCAGAAGCAGACTCTGTAAGGGGGCAGTCAGAGACAACCTGGGGAGTAGCAGCTAGAGAGGGAGTCCCCCTGGGGAGATCCACAGCCTCTAAACCAAGTTCCCTAACTTTCTCTGGAAAGGTCATTCAGTAAGATGAGAGGTGGGGGTGGGGGCCAGGGGAACAACTGGAAAGGCTTCTGGGCGAGGGACTGAGGCTTGCTTTTCCCTCCTGGGACCTCCAAGCTCTGTTTCGCCCACAAAGATTGCTTTGAACCCATCTCTTTCAAGGAAGTAACAAGTTGGGAACCAGATACTGGGCGTCACAAAACGCCTTTGAGTTAATATTTGGCAGAAGATATCACAATCAAAGAAGAGCTGGCAGAGTGGGGCTCGATGACAAGGTTCCTGGGTGTCCTGGCCCTCCTGGGGTGGTCACATGCTCCCTGACGGCTTCCTCTTCCCACAGACTGGACGTGGGGAAATTCCCACTGGGCACTATAAGAAGCCCCTGGGCTCTGGGCAGAAGCCAGTGGCTTGGGCTAAGAGCACAAGATGACGTCAGGCCTCCTCTGCCTCCTCGCCCTTCCGTTCCTCCTTGGCCAGGCCACAGGGGATTTGGAGCCCCTGATCCCCAGAACCACCTCCAGCTCTTTCCCTGACCCTGTGTTGAGCTCCAGCTTCATCCCTGGCTCCAGCTCCAACAACAGCTTTGGTCCCGGCCCTGGCTCCGTGACCCAGGTGAGAAGGCCCCACAGTCTGAGAGCTCTGTTCATTCCCTTCCTCTCACTTTTTAGGGAGCACTCTAGAAGAGTTACAGCTCCCTTTGTTAACTGTAGGTGCCCCGGAAATGAATTAAAACCTGGGTAAAATAATTAAATTGTTTGCAAGGGAGACGACATCTTGGTTCTTCCACTGGAGGCTTTAGGGAAAGAATTAAAACTTGAAAGAGGTTCTCAAACTTGGCTGCACTTTGGATTTGGGGGTAGGGGGTGAGGGTGGGAGGGGGACTCTAAAAATCGAGATGTCCCGGTTCTATTCCAGATGAGAACTCGTAGGCCTCATTACTAGGCCACGTCCTGAGCCTTGTTCCTTGGGAGCTGAGTCCTCTTTGTATCTCCTTTGAGGAGCTAAGAAGAGCAGGGAGGATGAGACATTTTGGGTCAGGAAGCATTTCCTCACTCCAGCTCTGCCCACGTGGGCTCTGGGCCTCTCTGTAGGAGCCCTGCTCTGTAAAACCCAGGCTTTCCTTGCTATGGTGTGCCTTGGGGTGGAGGAGTCTTAACTCTCCCAGAGGCTGTCCCTGTGTACTTCTGTGATCTTTATTCACAGGTCAGGTTGCTGCTTACATGCTCCCATCTGAATGGAAGGGCCATTGGGAAAAGGGGAGGAAAAGGCTTTTCTATAGTTTCCATTTTGCCAGTGTAGGCAATGGAAACTTGTTGATTAACGAATGGTTTGGATAGGGCCCAGATAGAAACTGCCACAACGATGTTCATTGAGTGCCTAATAAATGATGGGGCTCGCTTAAGTACATAATATGTGTTATCTTCTTTAACGCTCAGAGGTTGGTAAAATTAATGGTCCCATTTTAGAGATGTGGGAACAGAGGCTTGGAGAGGTGACGTCATTGGCTTAAAGTCACTAAGCCAGTAGATTATGTAGCTCAGACTTAGTCCGCCCATTCTCTTACCCAGCTCTCCCTAGGCGGCTTTCTATATTTTGGGGGAGTATAGATGAAAACTTATTTTTAAGAGGAGAATGGTTTTGGGACTCATAAATATGCTGATAGTCTTTGTAGTCAGAAATCAGATGCATTATTTTATTCCATGATACTAAGTAACTTCTGGGGACAATTAGAACTGGTTAACATTGGAGAAAGAGGTTAACAATAAATGATTGGTTTTGAAGCCTCATCACCAATCAGAAACCAGCATTTGGGGAAGATGATCAGTTAAAATAACAGAAAATAAATTATAGGTCAAGAAACAGAGAAATCCAATATGCCTTTTGTCTGATAAAAAGATAACTGTTTTAAAGTAGATAAGGAATGGTAGTTAAATTGCACTTAGAGGTTTTAATTTCCTTCCTGGTTTACTTATCTCCCTCTGGTGAGTCAGTATCACTACCCGAACTTCTTTTTTATAGCAGGCTAGGTGTCACTTCTACTATAAACCCAATTTTCTAGGGCTGGCTGTTAGCTTGATGAGCTCTTTGGAAGGTGGTAGAAAACCCCTTTATAACTGTCATTGAGCAAGTTCCAAATGTATCATTTTCTGTACTTTGAAAATGTTGAGTACCATTATTTTATGCCTTGAATCCTTACAGGCACTTAGACCTGGCTGCTAATTAGAACCAATTGCAACCTTAAATCACAAATGTGAGTCACACCTTCAGCTAGCGCTCCGAGCACTCCACATGCCTTGGATGGCCCCCTCCAAAGAAGGAGCCGCTATCAGGGTCCTCAATTCACAGATAAGAGAAGGCGCAACGCTTTGTTCTACACAGTCATTGGCAGAGTCAGAACATGGAGTCGTGTGCTTTTGTCATCAGGCTAAGGGGCTTGGGTTTGTTGGAAAAAAAAAAGGACACAAAACCTCTCTCATGACAGTGGGCCTGATTCACTGGGCAGGAATTGGGTCTTACTTGTCTCCCTAACACCGCAGCCTGGCAACCTGTAGACACCAGTAAATGTTAATTAAACACATGCTGCGTGAGACCCCATCAGTGTGGGGTGTCTTGTAAGGTACGGAGGATCCTATTTGTCCCCCACAAGGGAGATTGCAGACTCTCTCAAAGGCCAAGGGGACAAGCACATGTCTGTTTCTCCCACTCCTCATGTTACACTCACATAGAGTTTAAGCATTCAGTGCAAAGAGAGAGACCCATCACCATTAGCTTCATTGTCTTTGAATGTGAGGAGCAGAAATATCTCTAATGGGAGACACTGATCAAACTTAAGGACCATTTTGATGTCAGCTGCGCACACTGGGCTGATGATAAGCAGGTTGGAAGCTGGGGAGTCCACGGTGCTGGGACAGAGATGTTCAGTAGAAGACAATGGAATGGCTGTCAGCAGGCTCATAATTATTTGCCTGCCTTTCAGGTGAACTTCAGGACTAAAAGTTGTTAGCTGGTGGTTTCTAGTTGATTGTCTAGAGACTGCTTGATGATCTCCACTATTTTCTGATTTGACAGAGCTTTTCAGTGAACTCTAAGAATGGTTCAACCCTGTCTTATGCAGCTAATTAACCTCCCCTTGTCAAAATGCAATGCAAGACATTTTTTTGAGGGTAGACAGTTGTTATAATAAGCTGCTTTTTTTGAAAGTCCACGATACATTGGTCCTCCTGTACAAGCCTTGGCGTGCTTGAATGGGAGGGAGTCTTTCTAGCTTCGGTGGGAGTGATAAACCTGGTTCCAAGGGAAGCTGGTCTCTCTGACAGATTTTTGGTGTAGCTTGTCCAGGCCTTCTTCATCCCTGGCAAAGACCCTTACCTTAACCCCTTCCCAGCCCCCGTGTTCAGCATAAACCTGCTTGTCTCTCTTCCTTACTCCCCAGATGTGGGATGTGATTGGCAAAGAAAATTGAGACCAATGTCAAGAATTTACTTGGCATCTATATATATATAAACATTGTGTGTGTGTGTGTGTGTGTGTTTGCTCATCTTAAAGAAGATTAGGTTAAATTGACAAGCAATTTAGTTGCAAAAAAGCCTGAATTAATTGGTCCAGAGGTCACTGACAGAATACATCTTGATTATAGAAGCATCTAGGTCCAGCTTGTTTGGAAAGCATGGAGGTTGATAGATACTAAATGCACAGAGCACACAATCTCAGCTGCGGCCAATTGACCTCCTAAACTTTGAGAGGTGTGGCCTGCATCTCTGCAAATTCTGCAAGCCATTGCTCGGCCCTTGGTAGTTTTGGAGACATTTCAGTCTCATGTTCCACAGGTGAGCTTTGGGCTGACCATCAGATGAGATCATTGTAAAGCTCAGCCAGTAGGCTGCCAAGGGTTCCTCTGGAAGGCAACAGTAGTAATAAAAAAATGTTAATTGTGCTGGGATCCGCTTGGGGAAGTTCAAAGGGGACAAAGGAACAGGATCTTTCAAACCTGTCATTTAAAATATGCAGTGGCACCAAAGTGTGAGCCCGAATATCTTAAAGAAACATCAGATATTTTAAAATGACTTTTCTGCAAGTGGTAAGCTGGAAAACTTAAAAAAAATTTTTTTTTTGCACAAAACCTTCAAACTCCTACATTATTCAGTCTTTTAAAAATGGCTGGTTTGTGGGCGCCTGGGTGGCTCAGTCGGTTGAGCGACTGCCTTCGGCTCAGGTCATGATCCTGGAGTCCCAGGATCGAGTCCCGCATCAGGCTCCCTGCTCGGCGGGGAGTCTGCTTCTCCCTCTGACCCTCCCCCCTCTCATGCTCTCTCTCTCTCTCATTCTCTCTCAAATAAATAAATAAAATCTTTAAAAAAAAGGGCTGGTTTGTTTCCATTTTGAAGAATGTTAATTATACAATTTCCTGGGTGAAGAGATGATGTGAATTTACACTGTGTTTTTTCCCTGTAACCCATATCCATGATGGTTTTCCCATTCCATTCATTGGAAGGCATTGGGTTGGGGTTGGGGTAAAGAAAATGAGTGCATGGAAGAAAAGGGAAAGTGACATCTACTGATCACCGACCACATGCCAGGGACTTGGTTTACATTACGTAGTTACTCTTGGGAATGACCCTCTGAAGTGGGTTATCTCTATTAGACAGGTGAGGAAAGCAAGACTTACAGAGGGCTCATGTCCAATAAGTGGTAGAATTGGAATTCAAACGTAGGATGCCCATCACTTCTTTCTTTCCCTTTCCTTACATGGGAACAGTAATGATTTCCTTGAAGCCTCCTCAAGAAAGGAGAATCTTCCTTTAGGTAAAGGTGTCTGACAGTGGTTTGGCCTAGCTGGTGGAGATGTGGCTGAACTGAGTGTAATCACTGCCTGGGAAACATGGCAGTTTTAGCTTGTGTCTCTGATCCTCTTCATTCATTCAAGATTTATTTAGAGAGTGAGTGTGAGTGGGGAGAGGGGCAAAGGGAGAGGGAGAGAGAGAATCTCAAGCAGACTCCCCACTGAGCATGAGCCCAGCGGGGCTCGATCTCAGGACCCTGAGATCAGGACCCTGCCATCAGGACCTGAGCCAAAATTAAGAGGCGGGCGCCTAACTGACTGCATCACCCAGGCTGATTCTATTCATTTATGTATTGGACTCCACTTGCTTGCCTCTGAGCACTCTTGACAGGCCAATTTCTGTCACTCCGGTTACCAAAAAGCTAATTTCCCGGCTTATTACTGATGTTGAACTTATTTTTATTTCAGTCGCTTTCCAATTTCACTGGATTCGAGGATGACCACGGCACCTGCCAGTGCTCTGTGACCCTCCCGGACACCACCTTTCCCGTGCAGAGAGTGGAACACTTGGAAGTCACGGCTCATATTCTCTCCCAGAAGTTCGAGAAAGAGCTTTCTAAAGTAAGCATTGCTTTTCTTCCTCTTCCAATCAAATCTTGATAGGAACAAACCAACCCTTTTTATTCAGGACTTGGTAAGCAGCCTTCTTCGCTGTGTCAAAGCTAGGATGCTTGCATCCTGCGGGGACATTAGCATTTGTTTTTACAGTACACCTGTGGAGCTCTTTATAGCAGGAAAAATGAGGGCATGGGAAGAAAATGGGATGGAGATGGTGCATGCCACGGATAAACTCACTTCAATATTGTGCACGTGTGATTGGAAGGAAGCCCTGAGCTTCCCCCTGCGAAACCCAACCCCGCAATTTTTATTTGCTTTTGGTTCTGTTGTTTCTTCTCCTTCTGGTCATCTTCCTCTTTCTTCCAGCTTCGCCTTGTCTTTCCTCTCCTCTCTCCTCTGTTCTCTCTTCCTTCTCCTTCACTTTTCCTTCCTATTCCTGTTCACCCCCCTTCCCTTGTCTGTCCCTTCCAACCTTTCTCCCTTGCCTTCCTGTTTTTTTTTTTTTTCATCTTTCCTTACTTTTGGAAAGCCCCACCCCACCCCCTTCTTTGCCTCTTCCTTCCCCTCCTCCAGTCTTTCTCCCTCTTTTCCTTTCTCTTCCTCTGATTTTCTCTTTCCAGTTTACTTTCTTCTCTCTCTCCCCCACCTTCCTCCCTCTGTCTCTCCCTCTAACTCCCTCTGTCTCTGTGTGTCTCTCATTCTCCCTCTCGTGTGTTATCCTCTATTGTCTCAGCAGGAACATTACATTAGACATGTCTAGCATTAGACCGAAATGGAAGGCTTCGCTGGGAATTTGAATCAATTCACGCCGCCTTGGTAAAGACCCCGCTTCCAACCCCCTGATTCAGGCTTTTCTCCAGCCAGAGGAAGTCATCCCACAGGGTTTGCCTTTCTCTGAGCCGGCTGGAGCAATGTGACCTGGCATTCCAGTTTTGACCCCTTCTCCGTTTTTAGCCAAGTTAAAAATCAATTAGAAAGGCTCCCATTTTCGGCACAGGTGAAGTCCAAGCTAGGCTATAATCACATTATGCATTATTTACTACAACTCCATTAATCTACAAGGAGCTCTGGCTTTCCTACGAGATTCCAAATAAGTTTTCCTGAGAAATTTAAGCTTAGCTACCTCAACATCCAGCACAGTTATCCTTTAAGACAAAAATGATGATGAGGCTGAGACCCTGCTTTCAACCTGAATTGGTAGATAAATATTCTATGTTTAAATGAATGTCCAGGAAAATGTGTTTGACTACACCAGGAACCTAGCTTCTTAAGAAATAAAATGTCCTTGAATTAATCAGCAGAAAAGGCACAGCGCTAAATTATAAATTCCAACCATTAATATTCATAGCCTTATTCCAGCATAATCAAGTACAGATAGGAAGTTATGCATAAAAACATAACAAGTGGAGGAAAATCCTGAGTAAAGATCTTTTCAGTTAGAGTCATTTGCTTTGAAATAGTGGAAGCAACTGATTTGCATGCCTTCTTTGCTGGCAGGAGTGTGAAGGGCAGTTTGAAACCCCATGCTGTTTCGGGGAAGTGTGCAGCTTGCCAGGGTGGAGAGTACGGGACATTTCATTCCAATCCTGTAAAGAGGGCAGGTGGCATCTGCCTTGCTAATAATTGGCAGGGAGGAAGTGTGGAGTAGGTGGGAGAACTTTTAGTTCTGAAAGCATGAGTAGCTGTTCCTCAAGAAATCTGCAATTGAGGCCAAAGAAAGGAATTGACCTGCCTGTTGAGATTTGCATCATAAATTCTGTGTGACAGACGATAATAACAGCAAGAACAGCTTCCTTTTGTGCTTTTCTAAATGCCTCTGGGTCTGTTCTACCCTCAAGCGAGTCTTTAAGGCAGATAGGCCAGTGTTCTTCCCATCTTAGGGATGGAAAAATGGAGGTTCATAAAGGTCAAGAGACGTCAGTGGACCGGTCATTTCTCTCTTGGCTGGGTGAGCCAGGGCAGGAATTTGGGTCTTCAGAATCATCCCAGTTCCTTTCTTCTTGGCCACGCTGTTATCAGCCTCCAAGAAGAGATGCGGGAAGTCAGGCATGCCTTCAATCCAGAGTTATCTCTTCAGCTGAGGGCTTTTGAATTTTCAGGTGAATGATTATAGCTGTCCCTAAGTTGTCTTGGAAATGACCATTTATCTGGAGGCCTGGGGGGGATACCCGATTGGACAGGCTGCCGGAAGAGGGTTTGGACCGCTCTGCATTGATTCATTATCTGTCAGTACACAGGGAAGACAGGGAGCTGCCTCTGCATAAGATGCTGAAAGCATTTTATACTTTTCCGTTGTTTATGATATGTCCTCTTGTGACCATACTCAAGAGGAGACAACACAAAAGGCAGCTCCGGATTTTCTTTCTGCAGTCTTTGGGGCAAGTTATTTAGTAGGACACATTCGCTAATAGATCCTCATGCACGAGAAGGTTGAGGCAGTCGGGGAGACATTCAGGCAACTTCTAAACCAACAACATTGATTGAACAATGTTTTGTGCAGTGAAATAGAATAAATTAAAAGGTCAGATTGAAAAAACCCCTGAAATCACTGTTTCTCTAATAATTGCAGGCAGTTTATAGACATCCAGTAAGTGAGGCACTTTTTTTTTTTTAGATTTTATTATTTTTAAGTAATCTCTATACCCGACGTGGGGCTCGAACTTACAACCCCGAGATCAAAAGTCGCATGCTCTACTCACTGAGCCAGCCAGGAGCCCCTAAGTGAGGCACTTAATATGCATTATCTCTAGTCTTTCCAATAATCTTGTAAGCTTGATATCATTACCCCCAGTTTATAGGAGGGGACTAAGGCTTAGAAAAATTAAGTGATTTGCCTCCTAAGTACTGAGGGCGGATTTGAGTTTAGGTGGATCTAACTCCAAAGTATTTCATATGTCTTCACTGTCAATTCAAGCTCAACTAATCTTGTTAAAGATATATTAAAATAACAGTTATGTTGCAGAGTACATTTACTTATTTCAAATAATCTGGCCATAATAATGATCACAGGTTTTGAGGCAGAAGCATGAGCCAGACAGGTTCTTTAGTCTAATAGCCGGCTGCACTGCACTCCTGTCTATCACGAGACTACATTTACTGTGTGGAACAATGACAAATACCCAAAAGTGAACCCCTAAACAAACTTTGATTCTTAGAACCCACCAATGACGTAGTATGTGCATCACAAACAAAAAAAAAAAAAAGGAAATTCTGAATGTTAGGCTGGTGGTTGGAAGGCAAGCATAGACGAGTCTTTTAAAACTCAACCTCATAGTGATGAGGAGCTTGTAGTAAAGATGTTGACACAGGGAGGTGTCCCCTTAGGGCTACACCCATATTCTTGCTGCACGTCTCTGGGCAAGTCGGGTGCTTCTGCTGACGTTGCACTTCAGGGAGAGCTGGATGTTCTCAGAATTGCCCATTCTCAACACTAGAGAGCCGAACAATCTACTTAAGTTGGTAAAGTCCTCAAATTCCCGCCTGCCTTTTTTTTTTTTTTTTTTAGAGAGAATGTGTGTGCGCATGCATGAGCGGGGAGGTGGGGAGGAAGAGGCAGACAGAAGGAGAGGAGGAGAGAGAGTCTCAAGCAGGCTCTCAGGCTCCATGCTCAGTGCAGAGCCCAGCACAGGGGCTCAATCTCACGACCCTGAGATCATGTCCTGAGCCGAAATTAAGAAGGGGACGCTGAACTGACCCAGCCACCCAGGAGCCCCTCCCTCCTGCCTTCTTAGAACTCCATGGACGATTCTGGTTTTCCTGAACATCACTGAGCTTTCCTTTAAACGTCTGCTGAGAGAACCTCAAATTTTCCCCAAACAGATCTTTTTTTTTTTTTAAGATTTTTATTTTTTATTTTTGACAGAGAGAGAGAGAGAGAGAGAGCACAAGCCTGGGAAGCGGCAGGCAGAGGGAGAGGGAGAAGCAGGCTCCCTGCTCAGCAGGGAGCCCGACGTGGGGCTCGATCTCAGGACCCTGGGACCATGACCTGAGCCGAAGGCAGACGCTTAACCGTCTGAGCCACCCAGGTGCCCCAATCCCAAACAGATCTTGAGAGACCTCATTTTGTGGCAGACTCTAGGTTATGACTTGGTTTTCAGTGAGAATCTGGGAGAGCCACATTTTATTTAGCAGAGATGACAGTTGGATCACTCATTTCTGTAGAATAACAGCTGCGATATGCCACCAACATGTTCCAGGAAAGCAGAGGGTGTTTCATGTGTTCCAAGAGCTGGCAAGGCCAAATGCCAACAAGAATACTCATTTCGCAAACTTCCATTTCTGTAATGGATTGGCACTTTATTATTATTATTATTATTATTATTATTATTATTAGTTTTACCACAGGCAAGGTTTTACACTTGATTTTTATAGAAATTAAAACCTGGCTACCTTATATTTGTGTTTATACTTTTGAGAGGAGGACTCGTGAGGTCATCTATATATATTTTTCTAACCTCCTTATGCACCAAAATGTCACCAGCTTTATCAGCCTCCGAGTGACGGCACAGCTGATGGCAGTGAGCTTCAGTTGCCCGAGGAGATACACTCGCAGTGCCAAGGGCTGCATTTTCAACTTTCATTAAAATCCTCTTTGCCTGAAGCCCTAGCCCTTGAGGTCTGTGGCCTATGAGTCTGCTCTAATTTGCACAGTGGGGTTAAGTGGAAGGGCTAAAATGACAGAAGTTAGGGCTGCCTTTGGTATTAGGAGGATTATAGGCCAACATCTGGCTCTGAATTCATCCAGGCCCCCGTGGATCAGCTACTTGACATTAGCACGGTTTGGGGAAAAGTATCACTTATGTTCGAATTTTTAAAAAAGAATGTAAAACTAGCAACTTTTAATGAGCAGGTCCTTAAAAAAGCCATGGCATTTCTTTTCGAGATCAGATACAAAAAAGAACCACCAAATGTGTTTATTGAAATATCCATTTGGAAATTCCAATTATACACTAAACCACCAAGGGAATTTTTGCAAGTATTTTAACTTAATGATCAGACATTCAAATATATGCTACAAATGCGTAAAGGTCTGATTGCAATAATCAGTTCTTGGAATAAATGTGGGTGCACTTAATGAAATGTGCACTTGACAGTTGCATATACACTCACATACTGTGTGATAAAGTTGGGTCTTTATGCCACTTTGTGAAAGGTGGAGCGGCCCAAAACTCAGTGCATGTGGCCATCAGAGAAGGAATTCTCCTTAGTGCATTTCTCCCTCTTCTAGAAAATAGTTAGATTTAAAGCACTGTTTCTAAATGGAGGGAGGGTGGTGGTGGTGGTGAATTTGCCCTCAGGGAACATTAACAATGCCTGGGGCATATTTGGTTGTCACAGCTGAATGGTCTATGGGTGCTTTTGGTATCTAGAGGCCAGGGATGCTGGTAAACATCCTATAATACACAAGACCTCCCCTTTCCCCGCCCGCCACCAGAAAGAATGATCTAGCTTAAAATATCAATAATGCTGAGGCTGGGAAACCCTGATTTAGACATGGTGTGTGCATTGAGGGCCTGGTTCAAACCAATTTAGTTTGGAGACCTAAAATCTTCAAACATTAAAATGGAAATAAAAATATACTTGTGCATGATGACTCTGAAGCAATATTATTTTTAGTCTAGGCAAGTGCCAAATCCACCCCACCAATTGTAATAATGTTTTAGTTTCTTTTTTTAGTTTGCATTTAGATAGATTAAAAAAAACTACTCAAATATATTTTTGATCCATTTCTTTACCAAAAAAGAAAAAAAAAAAAAGATTGACAGCAATCAAACAGTCCCTAAGGGCTTGGTCGTGGAGGAAGACTGCATGGTATTACTTTGGGAATTGACTTAAGCTTTTTGATTCCCTTTCAGGTGAGGGAGTATGTCCAGTTAATCAGTGTGTATGAAAAGAAGCTCTTCAACCTAACCGTCCGAGTAGAGATCATGGAAAAGGATACCATTTCTTACACTGAACTGGACTTTGAGCTGATCAAGATAGAAGTGAAGGAGATGGAGAAACTAATCACACAGCTGAAGGGCAGTGTCGTCGGAAGCACAACAATTGTGGACCAGCTGGAAGTGGAGGTAAGGCATGAGCTCGTTTCTGAGAGCTTTACTAAGAAATTCTCCTCAGCGGGCAGGTGCCAGGACCAGGCTACGGGTCTCTCGTCCAGCTTCCAATTCTGCACTCTCGCATGGCCGCATGGCCACATGGCATGTCCCATGTTCTGCTTTCCGTGGACATCTGTCTTTGACCAGTAAGTTCAGCACAGTGGGGACATGTTCATTGAGGAGCAGGTGTCCTCCAGTGGTCCTGCCCCAGAACCAAGTGGCCTTTGAACATCTCCAGGAAGGAGATGCTATGAATCTGAACAACGCCATGGCCAGGTTAGATCAAGTGCCTTCTCGGTTCTGGGTTTATGCTCATGGGACTAGAAGGCCACAATTTACCTGATTTTGGACTTGCTAGGTCAATTTCTCCTTTTGAATGATCATGTGATCCTTGATCCCTCTTGGAACACTTCTCCACATATTGGCAACCCTCTTTAAAGGAGTTTCTTGGGAGTATGTTTTAATGAAGCCTTTATCCTCTATGGATAAAGACCATCACATTAATGTTATGGTTGGGTAATTCCTATCAACGTGCATTTACTAGCACGGTCATGACGTGGGCTGTAGTTGAGAATTCTAGTTACATATGTCAGACTTTAAGTTTTCTCTGGCCCTCACCGTTCATTAGAAACTTAATTATAATACAACATGAGTAAACACAAGTTTATAAGGGAAGGTTATTGGAAATGAACTTTAATGGACCTTTGTGGATGCTTAGACTGAGCCTGTGCTCTATTATTAAATCTGTTAAAATCTTTGCCATTTTCTTCTTGTCACACACATCTGCCTGAGATGTGACAGGCATTCACACTAAACCATAAAATGTATTCTTCCAAATGAAACCATTCAGAAGAATCTCGGGTGTATTCTCTAGCAATGTTTCACTAAGTGACAAATTCAGCCCTGGAATGTTTATGAAAGAAATTGCATGATACTATAAAGTCACTCTGAATTTTTATTTCCTTAGATAAGGAATATGACTCTCCTGGTAGAGAAGCTGGAGACGCTAGACAAAAACAATGTCCTTGCCATTCGCCGAGAAATCCTGGCTCTTAAGACCAGGCTAAAGGAATGCGAAGCCTCTAAAGGTGAAAATGTTCCTGTCACCCCACCTCCTCTTGCCCCTGGTAAGCATGTCGTGTTTTCATCACTTGAGCCAGGCCCAAGTAGGAGCTGAGAGCGGGATGGGGAAGGGAAGATGGGATTGTTGCGGCTCTGAGCTTCCTCTTCCGTGCTTTGAAATCTCTCCCTTAGTAGCTCCACTTGCTAGCACGTTCTGGGGCACATAGAGGAAAAGCACCGACGATGAGTTGACTTAAAACAAGATCCATACATTACACATGTCCCCTTTGCATTTGCTAACAAGAAGAACGTCTCTGTGGTGATGGAGTTGTTGTCAGGGGGGCTGGGTGAAATCTTCTGGAATCTGCATGGCATCTGTGCCGTCCTGTGGATTGCAAGGGCTGATTGGCTCCTGTGGCTGATGAGCTGGGTTATGCTTGAATCTTCCTTCCCTCCTCCTCTCTTTCCCTCCCTGCTTCCATCTCTGTATTTTTCCTTTGTGCTTTCCTTAAATGCACCTGCTGTTTAGCATGTCTTGGGATTGAAGGAGGCTTTAATGGATGGCCCCACATGCCCAGGACTTGGGCCTGCCATCTCTCCTGGATGGGAGTTCCTGGAGGGCAGGGATGGTCTCTCACTCTCTAATGGTTATCCTTGGGGCAAGGTATAGCCTAGAGGGGGGTGCACCATAATACCTCCAGGGATGGAGGGAGTGGAGTGTAGGGGTCAGGAGTATGGCTCTGGGACCCCAAAGGCCTGAGCTTCCCAGCTATGTGGCCACAGCCAAAGATCTGTAATCTCGGCAGTGATAAAGCGGGAGGAGAGTACCTACCTTGCAGGGGTGCCGTGAGGGTTAATGAAACCAACCTTGGGAAGCACAGAGCTCTATGATTGGTACTTATGCACTGGAATTTGTTATTATTATTATTAACGAAGATAGCTGAAGTGGACACCTTGCTGGGAACAAAAGCGGTGCTAGGTCCTCCGGTGCTTCAGCACACCCCTCCAGGTGAACGAAAGCCGCCGCTCAGCCTTTCAGGACTTTGGCACAGGGCGGCTCTCTCTGTGGCTCGTGTGCGTCTCCACCTGAAAAGGGCCTGTGGCTTCTCATCCCATCATACAGCTCTTGGTATTCTCATTAACTCCTCTTCCTACAACCTGATTCCTTTTAGGCTGTGTGTTTCTGGATCCTTGTCAATGTAGCTGGTTTCTTTAAGGCTTTAATTAGATACTGCCATCGTTCTAAGCCTCTCGGTGGTGGTTAGGAGACTCAGTCTTCCCTCTGCTTTGTTGGCAATCTGTCATAGTATGACATACAGAAGAGGTTCAGGACAAAGGCCGTGCCTCGTCCTCCATTACAAGCTAAGGTTAAATTTGGTCTGGGATCAGTGGTGTCAGTGTGCGATGAAAACGTGAGCTCATTCTGCTGGGCCACGCAGGGCTCCGTGAGGACAGGGGTCAAAGCAGTGACAAACCCTGATAACACCTGAGCAAGGCTTGCTTCTTTCCTTCCTTCGCTCCCTCGCTTGCTTGCTTGCTTGCTTGCTTCCTTCCTTCCTTCCTTCCTTTCTTTCTTTCTCTCTCTCTCTTTCTTTCTTTCTTCACAGCATATTTTCCTCATGGAATAGATATTTCAAGCACAGTTTTCTCTGCATTCCTTAGAGTGAGGACATTTTAGAACTGGAGGGGACATTCAGAGCCATCTGGCTCAGGTCCATCATGTCTCAGGAGGAGGGGACTTAGGTGGTGAGGATGCCGCTTTTCCTGAGGCCACACAGGTAGTTAATGGCAGAGCTGAAGCTGACGGGCAGGGCCCCTTGCTCTGTGGGTATCGCAGGACCTAGAGTGTCCGATGGCAGTAACTCAAGGATGGCAGTGGGAGACAAAGTACACTGCTTGGTATATCTAAGGAGGAAAACAAATGAGTCTGTTGGATTATTTTTGATAGAATTCCTTTTCTAGAACTTTCCCCTAGGTCCTCACACTTAGACTTTTGTAAGCCATCCCAGCCCAGCTGTGTTGTTTAAGCAAATTGGACCCAGATTTCCTCTCACTTTCCCACAACCTTGGCTGTACCTGGATCCCAGCCAAGCCACTTGGCCCTCCTCCAGCTTTGTTCATATTATATTTATGATGTTTATATTAAACTGACTTTTTGTCATGTTTTTAAATCAATTTCTTTTTACTTGCTCTCTTTCTGTTTGATTGGTTGATAATGCAGAATTGGAAACTCCCCAGACACCACAAAGTTGTGAGCCTGTGGAGACTTTAATTAAAGTTACTCACTATTATGGGACCTTAAAATCTGGCCTGTCTGCTTTCACTGCAGAGTTGCACAGAACAAAAGGCTGTATGCAGGTCTCAGCTCTAAACCAATTTTGTGTTCGCTGGGCCCCTCCCTTGCAGTTGCAACGTGCTACCCCTCTCTGGTCAGCTTGGTCTTCGAACCAGCACATGTAGCTAGGGTTCAATAAAACATGCTTTATATTTGGTTTATGCTGCAAATGGCATCCTTTTCTGCTTCATTTCGTAGAACTTTCTAATCTAAAATAATTGGCCTTCTGCTCATTAACTTTTTTTTTCCTGAAAACAACTGACTCTGTCTGATCTCCCCCTGAATCTAAACGACGGAAGATAGGCAAAATGTACGCACCCGCTCAGGGGTGGATCGCCGCTGTGCTTGGCAATGGTGCTGTGTTCTGTGCTGATGCATAGTAGGTGCTCGGTAAATGGTTGATGGAGGATATGGGGTGACCCGCCCAAATCCCAAGCCTTAGGAAAAGCAGAGTGTTGGGTAGTATATATTCAATAATTCAGAGTCAATTTGGTCTTCATCATTTTGTGATTATGACCAGGTTAATTGCCTAATTCTCACAAGTGAATTGTATTCTCCTCTTTGCTCAAAGTTCAGTTGTCCAGGTAGGAGATTGCACTCATAGATCCCAGATTGTTTTCTCTGCATGTAGACTTTGACTTAAGAAAAATGCTACTAACCATGAGGCTTTCTTTTTTTGTAGTAAAATTTTAATCAGGTAAATAAAATATCTTTATGGGTTATAATTTTGGAGTTTGGCACCCAGCTTCTAACTTTTTTTACCCAACCTTCAAAGTTGGGCAATACAAATTTGAATTCCCATTTGTTGATGCAAATTAAAAACTCTCTACCACATCACACACACAAATACAACCATGAGACTTGAGAAAAGCCAAGTCAGGGTATGTTAAAGTCTTACCATGTGGCTTCCCAGGGTATTTTCAGAATACCATGGCAATATCTAATGAATTGCGTGATGAAGAGATTGCCAACCAAGGACACCCTTGTGTGGAGGGTTCCTTGCATTATGTTCTGTGGAGTGGATACTAGGCTTTTTGAAAAACTCAGATTTGTAGCAGAGTAGAGGGCTAGGGTTTTATAAATAGGGTAAACTGGGTTTGGGAGATTTGATCAGTCTTTCCTTCCCTTATTCCACGATCCTGATTTGGTACCACTGCATGGCTGGTCCTGTTCTGGGAACCAGGGTTACCAGGATGGCTCCAGGAACCTCCAGAAACCACTCTGTAGGAAGGGAGACAGGCAGGTGAACCTTCAATTCCAACGTGATGTGATTATAATGCTGATAGTTACCATTTATTGAGTTACTGTACATGCCTTCTCTCTCTTCTTCTTAACAGTGCTACGGAGTAGGTATTAGGAATTTTTTGTTTGTTTGTTTTAACATAAGGAAGGTGAAGCTCAGAAGGTTACACAGCCAGTAAGTACTGGAGTCAGGATTTGACTTGGAATCTATCGCCAATATTTTCACTGTACCAGGCTGCCTTCCATAGATGCTCTGATAGAGAGGTGCACCTGTGATTCCCAGAGTGACAAGAAAGTTCCAACAACTCACCAACCTGATTAACACCAGGCTATCTTGGCTTCCTTGCTTGTGGGGTAGCTGAAAGGGTGCTTTTACCCTTGTTTCTGTGGCATGTTCTTTTCTACCAGAAATTGCAAAATGATTCATTGGTCTCTTACATTCTTGGATGATGGTTGGGCTTGGGTGTTTGTCCCAGTGTCAGGGTAAACTTGTGATGGCTGAGGAAGGGAATGGAGTACCCCTAAGACCTTGAAATGAAGGAAGGGGTGGGGAAAGGGTATGAGATAAGGGGGTGGGTGGGAAAAAGCTTGGCATAGATGGGGTGAGGGGGGTGGGGGCTCTGGCAGGGCTGGATGAGCAGTGGGCACCCAGCTGGCTGTCAGTTTCAGTGTTGTTTTCAGGATAGTTTGCCACCAGGAGTCGAGGAAGCCCGCCATGGCCTTTTCTCTAGTCTGTCATTGCTGTAGCCACATCTGTGGTATTGCCAATGATGCTCAGTTCTCTTCTCTTTTTCCACCTCCTTTGACCATAGCCAGGGCCCTGAAAATGGCCCAAAGGACATCGAGGAGAAGAGGGGTATGACAAAAAGGGCAGGAGGGTGTTTAGGAACGGTTGGGAAGTGAGAAACAGAGACTGTGGTTTCAACAGTTTTGGTATTTATACCAGGTGTAATTTTTAATTTCCTGGTCCGCGTGGAAAAGGGGGGATGAGCCATTATTATTATTATTAATGGTAGTAGAAGTGGTCATTTTTAAGAGGAGTTTATTTTGGTTCCTTTATATCTAAGGATTTCCACATCCAACACAGAACAGTTTATGATCTTTAACCCCTTGATAATGCTTGGATACGTGTATGCATCATAACTTTCCCTTAAGTATTTTGTTGCTGTTGGTTTGGGATATTTTCTTTGCAGAAAAGCAAGATTCAATTAAGCAAACAATTCCTAAGTCTTCCAACCTGCAAGAAAAATCTGACTTTCTCTCATTTCCTCAGAGTGAAATGTAGTTAAATAAATAAGTTCTCGGGGAGATGTTTTAACTAGAAAATCCAGTTTGTAGCATTTGGAAACTCAAACGGTTTTTGTTATCATTAAACTGAACACACCACTAACTTTATTTTAATAATTCATGCATTGTTTCATAAACAAAAGTCAACAAGCATTCATCTGAGAGATCACTTTTAGGAGAAGGAATAATAATTTATAATTTTATTTATTATTTCTTCGGTGGAGAGCAGTCTCTTGGCTGAACACACGTTGCTTTTTTATTTATGAGCTGGTGCATGCATTATTAAAATAAACCTGCGACTGTGTTCTGCTTAATGATATGCAAAATTATTTGAGGTTGGGTACAGAATGGTTTCATTTCTCTACCTGTTGTATGGTTGGCTGGCTTTCCCACCAACTGCGGATTTATGAGAGCATTTAAGGAGCACGTATGTAATTCTGGGACCAAAAAGCCCCAGCAGTTTGGAAAAATAAAAGCAGGGTTTCTAGTAATGGTTTCACCTCTGAGCAGTCCTTGAATAAGGAGGGGAGAAGCCGGGGACATTTAGCAAGGAGAGGAATGGGTCTTTCCATATTGGTCAGAGGCACAGACTTACAGGAAAAGCTTTGCTCCCCCTTAACCAGCCTCCCCCCCCCCCCCCCCCCCCTATGATAAATCAGGTAATTCTTTGGAGCTCTGCTTTTGGCTCCAGCTCACATCATGTGCTCTCCACGGCTCCCTGATTCCCTCCAAGCATTCAAAGCCAGATCAAGTGATTCAGGTTCTGTTCCTCCTTCCCTCACCTGCTCTGCTCCAGGCAGTCAGATGAGGGAAAATGACCTCAAATGTACTTGAAGTTGAATTTTCTTTGTCATCCAAGAAACAATGTTACCCGATTGTAAAGGGTATTTATTAAGATCCCAGAAAATGTGTGTTCAACTCTGGATAGTTATTATAAAAATCCTGGAGGAATTTTATTTTATTTTTGTAGCAAATGGTTTGGGTTGGCAGGCATTTCAGAGTGCAGTGTGAAGGGCCAGTTGTCCAGTCTGGGTCGTTCACTGGTGTTACAGGGAAGGTGGATTCAGTGGACCAGTAAGTCTGGTCCCACTTGATTGTACACATTGTAACAGCAGTGTCCGATTGGGAAAGGTGAAGTACTTGTCTGGCATTCTATGGCCCAGTAGAAATTGTGGTATGAACAGCAAGACCTACCTTATTACTCTACAGCAAGATGGTCACTGAGGGTTCTAGGTCATGGGCTATGCTTTGGGCACAGAGCAGGCAATATTGCCCTAAAATAACTTCCACGGCTTCCCAAGGCTAAAATCCCACCATGATAGGACCATCTTTTTGTATCTTTAAAATCCCATATTTAAAACTTCCTCTTCTGAGATTGGCTTGGGGCAGCATTGGTACCTGGTGTGGATATATGCACTTGCGGTTCCAGGGAGGGAGGGGCAGGAAGGTGAAGGGCATGGACACTTGCCCAGGACAGTCTTCTCCTTCATCACAATTGTCCCTGATCCTGGGGAATAGCAGGCTTTATGGGAAAAAGATAGGGTCTGGGATGACCTTGCTTTCGTGATTTCTCTGTCAGAAAGATGAAATTTTAAAAAAATTTGCAAACTGCTTTCTGATAGAAGAAAATCTGTCAAATCCACCAAGTCCTCCCTTCCTCTTTCTGTGCCCTCAAACCTTTTTAGTGTGGCTCTTGGCAGCTTTAGCATCCCCATTTCCAGAATGAAAGCCCACTCGTGGAAACAGAAGATTGTTTTCTCTAGAGCCCACAGCGGGTTTGCATTGAGACTGACACCGAAAAGGTTTCGGCTCTTCTCCATCAGAACCACTGTCGTCACTGAACCTTGGCAAGACAAATCTTTATGGATTCCTTTGGTTCTTAGGGTATTAAACCATTTGTGTCTTGTCATTCATTTTTCTCTAAGAATGCCTTTTATGTTCTTGTTTGTACAGGGAGCTGTGGCCATGGCGGTGTGGTGAATATCAGCAAGCCGACCGTAGTTCAGCTCAACTGGAGAGGGTTTTCCTATAAGTATGGTGCCTGGGGTCGGGATTACTCTCCCCAGCATCCAGAAGGGGGGCTGTATTGGGTGGCACCTTTGAATACAGATGGGAGAACTCTGGAATATTATAGACTCCACAATACACTGGATGATTTGCTATTGTACATAAATGCCCGAGATCTTCGGATCAGCTATGGCCAAGGCAGTGGTACAGCAGTTTATAACAACTACATGTATGTCAACTGGTACAACACCGGGAACATTGCCAAAATTAACCTGAGTGACAACAGGGTTGAAGTGACTCAAGCTCTCCCTAATGCTGCGTATAATAACCGCTTTTCGTATGCTAATGTTGGTTGGCAAGATATTGACTTGGCTGTGGATGAGACTGGATTGTGGGTGATTTATTCAACTGAAGCCAGCACTGGTAACATGGTGATTAGTAAACTCAATGATACCACACTCGTGGTGTTAAACACGTGGTACACCAGGCAGTATAAACCATCTATGTCCAATGCCTTCATGGTGTGTGGGGTTCTGTATGCCACCCGCACTCTGAACACCAAACAAGAAGAGATTTTCTACTACTATGACACAAACTCAGGGAAAGAGGGCAGACTAGACATCACAATGCGTAAGATGCAGGAAAGAGTGCAGAGCATTAACTATCACCCTTTTGAGCAAAAACTTTTTGTCTATAATGATGGTTACCTTCTGAATTATGATCTGATCTTTAACCAGGAACCCAAGTAAATGTGTGAGGGTGAGAGAGGCAGAGAATGTTCTTTGAAAAAATGGCCTTTTCCACTTCTTTAGCTATCTGCCGGGGGATTTGGAAGTATGTTTGCTTAGTAGTGATATTTGGGAGCATAGTTCTATCACGCTGGAGACTTGGGATATTTGCCCTGATTTGATGAGTTCTTTTGGAAGCTGTCTGCCTCCAGAGATGTATTTCCCTACTGGAAAGAAGGTCCTTCCAGGGTGGATGGGATTGTGGAGGTCTAGGGGCATTATGGGTCCCAGGAAGGTGTCAGTGGTCCAGGCAGCATCTGGAAATTAAGGAACTTGAAGAGAACTCTGCATGGTTTTTGGGGATTCTTTGTACCAACGTGTCTCAGTGACCAGTTCTCCCCCATGTAGCCAGACTAATTCATCCATACTTGAAAGAAACCTGGGCTCAATTAGGCAGATTAATACCCAAAGCTCCTCGAGGGATCAAATCTCTGTCGTTGTTTTTCTTACTAGCACCTGGAACAATGTTTTATATGTAGCAGATTAGTAGACTTAGCCTGCTTTATTATATCTGTAAAATGCTCAGAGTTTTCTAAAGAAAGGCTCTTTTATGCATTAAATTGTACCACTGTAAATCGGTCCCAAATGGACATACAGGTGAGGCACTTGATTTTTCTTTGCTCCCTCTGTCCACTATATGAGTCAGTAGAGCCCTCCTGCCTCATGACTTCATTCCAAAGGCAGCTCAGAAGATTCGAACCAGACTTACAAACCGATTCCCACCCCCCCATTCTCTGCTCTCCCCGTTTCCTACCTCCTGTTTTTTATGAAAATTAACTGTTTTTTTTTTTTATGGCATGGATATAAGAAAAACAAAATCACATTTTTTGTCTCTTCATGAAATTTCACTTCCATGACTCTAAGACCATAGGAAGATCAGATGGCAGATAAAATCATAGCATATGTGGTTATATGATAAAGCCCTTGGAGCGTATGTGACATTTGTATTAATTCACAGCAGTTGTTTCATGCAATTTTGTCTTTAAGCCTGAAAGCTGTGAGAAAATGAAGTTTTTTGAGGAAGAAATATTTTAAAAACCACTGATAGTATCTAGCAAATCAGTGCAGTCTGAGAACCTTCCAGGTGTCTGTGCTTCTGTGCTTTGGATGACGTTATCATCTGGTCTTGGTCTCCTTCCCTTTGACGTTCATGAGTCCCAGTCTATAGGATTGGCTCCCTCAATGCTATAATCGTCCCCTTTTAATAAATGATTAAAGTGTGTTTTGATAAAAATGTTGTCCTTTGTGTGTTTTTAAACTCTTTTATTTTTACTATAAAAAAGCCTCTAATAGGGTGGTCCCCACTTTGTTGTGAGGTACAGAGTGTGGCTACATCCCGAACAGCAATGCCCAGGAGATCATACACCTTAACGGCAAAGAGCATCAGGGGCTTTTAAAGGAATCCAAAGTCAGGGCTGACTCTTTAGTTTTCATTTCCCCTTAAAATCCATTCTTTCTGGCAGTTCTTTTTTTTTTTTTTTTTGGTATGAGACTGCTCTCTTTTCTTTTGGGAGATGACCTTCTGTACTTATTAATTTGCATGACTGATCTGGTTATTTCCAATGTTAGACTATATTTGTGTGGTTTATGTTCCCTTTCCAATTGAGCTATTAACATAAGAAGCCTCCAGATCTTCCCCAAACAGAAGGTCTTGTACAGAAAGCAAAGGGACTAACCGGCCATACTGAGGAGGGAGATACCTTTACCAAAGAGAATGTGTAGGGGTACAGGTGACCTAGAGCTGGTAGGATAGATAGACTAGGCTAGTGTAGTTAGTCTTACTGAAATGCTCATTTTTAATGCATGCCACACTTTTTGAGGCAGGCGGTAGCTACAATATTTAGTATTTTCAGCAGTATTATTCTGTATTTTTCAGACTGAGCATAGAGACAGGTATGGCCTTCAAAATGCAACAAGATACGAAGATAAAGATGGATAAGTCATGTGAGATACAAGTTAAAAACAGTGATGTTATATTAATCAGGCTCTGGGCAGTTTTCCAGATGAATATTTCTATCACATCTACAGTCTGACATCTGAAGATCTGGGAAAGAAGGTAGGAAGCCAAGGTAACCCTAACAAGCAGCTTCTTATCTCAATGGCTACAGAAGCATTTGCCTGAAATTTCCCTTCAGAACCCACTGGACATGGCCTATCAGCCTGCAGTGGCTGCTTGCAGGATATCTCCCTACTGGGAAGATCGAACAACTAACTGAGGGATTCAGCTACACAGTGGAAATGTTAGCTCAGGATTCATCAACTAGTGCCCTTTGGGGGAAAAAAATTGTGTATATATTATCTAAATCAGCTTTTTTTTTTTTTTTTTTACTGTACCATATTTATCAAATCAGCTTTATTGGGATGCCTGGGTGGCTCAGTCGTTAAGCGTCTGCCTTTGGCTCAGGTCATGATCCCAGGGTCCTGAGGGGCTCTTTGCTCAGTGTGGAGCCTGCTTCTCCCTCTGCCCTTCCCCACCCTTGCGCTCTCCCTCTCTCTCTGACAAATAAATAAAAATCTTAAAAAAAAATAAATCAGCTTTATTGAGATGTAATTTACATGAGATAAAATCTGCCAATTTTAAGTGTACACTTAAATGACTTCTGGCGAACACATACAGTTGTATAAAGGCTACCACAATTAGGATGTAAAATATTTCCTCATCCCCCCAAAGTGCTCTCGTGCCCTTCTGTGGTCAAATCCTACCCTCCTCTCCTAGCCCCTGCCAACCACTGATCCATTCTCTACCTCCAAGGAATCATACAATACGTAGCCTTTTGAGTCTGGCTTCTTCAGGTTTCCTCTTGAAAAAGAGAACTTGTGGACTCAAATCACCCCAGCCGGTAACTGAGCATTAACAGGTGCTCCCAGGTTTCCCTCCATTTTTATTATTTTGGGGGAGGTGGAGAGGGAGAGGTGTGGAGAACTGAGGTGACCTCCCACTCTGTAAAGATTCCCTCCTGGCCTGGAATTGCCATGAGAGGGGCCTAGCTCTGGGTGTCAGTCAAGCCTACCAACCTGGCAGCACTGGCCAAACCTGAAACTTCCCTTGTCTCCAGCCTTATTCAATGTCTGTTCTCCAGTCTCTAGCCCTGAGCCATAAGCATCTCTACCCAGATGAGTCCTGATACTAATTAAAGATGCACAGTGGGTAAGAGTGTAGGATTTGGGGTCAGGCAAAACCAGATTTGACTCTTGGTTCTGCTGCTGACAAGTGGTGTGGCTTTGGGCAGCTTCCTTAATTTTTCTAAGACTCAATGTCATTCTCTGTATAATGGAATAAAACCGCCTACCTCTGGGTCTTGTTGGGTGAATTAAATGATATTAAATATAGAAAGTGTTTAGTACAGTTTTTGGCACATGCTCTGCCCTCAACAAAGAGCTATTATCCTGGTTTCTCATTTTGAGACTTAAGTTCAGAGTGGTCATTGGGTTGACAAGATATAAAGCTAATTGGGATCAAAGTTTACATCTTCTCCTCTATAAGACTTGTTGCGAGTAGCAACTCTTTAAGCAGGTGCCATTTTTGTCATGAAAGAGTTCCAAAGGCAAGAGCACTCTCTCTTTGTCCTCAACTCCAACACGGGCCCTCAGAGCTGATGTTTATTATGTTCTGACACCAAAACCACCAAAACAGAGACTGACATGAGCAGCAGAGACTGAGACTCCTTTCCCTTTCTTTTGAGCCACTGAAAACCTAAATGAAGACTGGCTTCCATCAAGGATGGGACCAAAATAGATGCAGGGGATCTTCTACTTGCTTTTCTGTAGTCAACAAGAACATCAATCTTCTCAGAGCAGGGCTGGGTATTTATTTTGTACTCTACTTTTAGTGCAGAGTATTTCCCTCTCAGAGTTTGTTTACACTGCCAGCCTGAAGAACGTGTTTTCCCTCTCTTCTTGATTCGTGAACCACTGAAAGGGAAGTGGCAGGGGATGGACCAACAGTGATCGTGCGGCTGCCTTCAGGATGACGTAGGGAGGTTCTGGGCCTGAGCCCTCAATCATCTCAAACAGATGTCACACCATGAGGGATGATTAGCCTCTCCTGCTCCAGAAAGTTCCGAAACAACAAAAAGGCGAACTGTGACACATCAGAAAATAAAAGGCAGGCCCGTTTCTAAGGCACGATGCTCCCAGCCAGTGGAACAGACCAGCTGGCCTGGCTCATCGATGAGAGATGCTATTTGAGTTGTCAGTTCAGTTGCCAGGCCTCACATCTGTAGCTTGGGATGCGCCCACTTGTCTCTGAGACCCGCATCTGCTCCTGGAGTTCATTCAAAGGGAACAGCTCTTGGAATCAAGGTCCATTGTGGAGAAAGATGGCCTTTCATCTGTCCAGCGGGGAGGCTTCTCCTTGGGTGCCACCTCTGGACATCCTGGAACCTGGAAGCCTGGTTTCCCAGGCCCCCAGCCCCTCTATGGAATCTGAAAGAAAAACCTATGGTGTGGGGGCGCCTGGGTAGCTCAGTCGTTAAGCGTCTGCCTTCGGCTCAGGTCATGATCCCAGGGTCCTGGGATCGAGCCCGGCATCGGGCTCCCTGCTCGGCGGGAGACCTGCTTCTCCCCCTCCCACTCCCCCTGCTTGTGTTCCCTCTCTCGCTGTGTCTCTCTCTGTCAAATAAATAAAATCTCAAAAAAAAAAAAACCTATGGTGTGTTTGGGGGCTTCTCTGTGGTTTTCCTGGAGCTCAGTGTGTGTGGCAGGTGCAGGAGGATAAGGATGGAATGATGGGCAGGGACCAGGGTTTATATGACATCAAAGGAATTTCATTCCTGAAGCTCCACCCGGCAACTTTAAAATGACTCCATATTTCTCTTTTTAGGTAGATTCTGCCAGCTCACATGTTCTTTTTGGTTGTGGCCTATAATGTTTTTATGTATTATTAGTGATTTACTTTTTCACCTTGGGAGCTATTATCAGTCAGTTCAGTGCATAGACAGAAACAACTTCTTTTAAGTGCA